CATTGCCTTAGAAAAAATATTGAATGTGCATGCGCATGTTATCCCTAATTGTCCCCCAGTTAGGCGCCCAGTGGTACACTGGACGGCTAACTAAAGTCTCCCCACTTGTCAAATTTCACCCAAGAACCTTTGTTGTTTTGTCCCCCAGTTTGTGTCCCCCGTTACTATATTAATTACACGATGAATGATCGCAAATATACTAAGTGATGCAACATAATTTGATTTATACAATAACTAGGAATGTAACTCGAGTAGTGATAGAAAAGACTTATCTTACTTTTTGACATGGCTCGTTGTGGCTAGGATAGGGGTGCCTAAAAAATGAGCATTGGCGTCCGCATTTGAAAGTCAGGTTGCCTTAGGCGCCACAACAAATACCTCTCCACTCTAACTGACATGCATCTGTACGTATGGCACACCTATTTTTTTTAGTTTTAGGTCCTCAAAGCTTCCATTTCCCATCTCAAAATGATGTCGTGCTCTCTTGTCCCCCAATATTAAACAATAAAATAAGCCACAAGGATACTAAGTAGTGCATTAGAATTTGACTCATGCAAAGTTAACTCGATAAGTGATGGGAAATACTTAGCTTAACCTTGGAAGTGCTTCCTTTGTGAAACTTCATATGTATCACTTTGTTTCCCATTAGCTTGTTGGTATGCGCCTATTCCCCATCACTTTTTGAATGCCTCTGGTGGTATGGTGTTGCTATAAATCAAGGGGCGCCTGCTATAAATCATCAACCTCATCTCAGTGAGGAAGATCTTACGCTTCCATTGTGGATGAGCTAGGCTGGAGTTCCCATTTCTTAACTTTGTGTGGCTCTTTTACTTTGAATTAAGGGGTCGTTTGGAAATTGTGATTCTTCAAATTGATGTATTAGGTCAATTAGTGTATTATCATTTGATGTATTGATTCAATGCATGTATTAGGAAAATACTTTGTTTGGAAGAGCAATGATGAAACAAAAAGTAGGGTAGACAATCCCTCATTAACAATCTCACCTTTTAGTAGAGATTTATAATCATTCATTTTGAGTGATTGTAGGTGGGCCCAACAAAAAGATAATGCATGCATTCTAACTCAAAGTGAACCAAAAAAACGACTTAATCTTATCATTACATGTATTTGCTAAATACCTCACTTCAAATCTCAACCTCCAAACGACCCTAAGACATGCTCTTATTAGTTTGCGCTGGAGTGCTGAACTGGTAGTAGTTGGGCGCCTGTAACAAGTATTGTACATGCCCCTTTTTTGTACCAGGGGTGCATGGCTGGTCTTCGGCCCATTATACTCAGTTCACTGAGCTCACCGACTATAAGCTCTCTTTGTCATAGGGCACCCACCTATGCCCCTAATATTTTTTCGGGCCCCTATTTTTACTTCAGGGCGCTACATTTAGACACATAGTATTTTTAACCAAGGGCGTCATATTTGCGCGCATAGAGTATTCCAAATCACGGGAGCTAAACGTGGGCGCGAAGAATATTTCAAACCACGGACGCTAAATTTGAGCGCGGAGAGTATTTCTGACCATGGGCGCTAAATTTGGGCGCGGAGAGTATTTCTAACAACATGCGCTAATTTTGGGTGCGGAGAGTATTGCTGACCACGGGCGCTATATTTAGGCGGGGAGAGTACTTCTAACAACATGCGCTAAATTTGGGCGCGGAGAGTATTGCTGACCACAGGCGCTATATTTGGGCGCGGAGAGTATTGCTGAACACGGGCGCTATATTTAGGCGCGGAGAGTACTTCTAACAACATGCGCTAAATTTGGGCGCGGAGAGTATTGCTGACCACGGGCGCTATATTTGGGCGCGGAGAGTATTTCCAACGACAGGCGCTAAATTTGGGCGCGGAGAGTATTGCTGACCACGGGCGCTATATTTGGGCGCGGAGAGTATTTCCAACAATAGGCGCTAAATTTGGGCGCGGAGAGTAATGCTAACCACGGGCATTATATTTGGGCGCGGAGAGTACTTTCATTTGCGGTGCTATATTTGGACGCAAAAAGTGTTTCCAACCGAATATGCTATTTTGAGACACTACGAATATTTCAAACCAAAAGCAATATTTTGCGGAGGTAAAAACCAAATTTCACAAAGAAGTTTAGTACCGGGCTTGGTGAGTGCGATGAAATTCAGGCTATCGCTTTAAAGGCACATGCTTTGGAGAAACATGGTTATGGACTTGTGGTGTAGGCGCTTGACTAGCAGTGTTAGAGTGAAGAAAGCTGGAGCCTCCACAAAAGGTTGTTGCTAAGAGTATGCGCCTCCCACATCAATATGATATGACAAAATAGTATTCTCATGGCATAGGGCATCTGAATCCTTCTTTCAGGTGCCAAGATCAAGTCCCAATGATTTGGTGTTGTAACAAGACCATTAAAAGATCTAAATATAAATATGGACGCCCAACATTAGGTACCGTGGTAGTGTTGTAGCACAGTGGCAGTGCCGCCTACCTTCTGGCAGCATTGTAAATTGTAATCATGACTGAGTGTTCGATCCCTATCATGAGCTATTTAATTTTGATTTCTGATCTGAACGCTTGAGCTTCCTATGGGCTGTCTTGATCTGGGCGTTCATTTGAGTGAGCGTCTTGGGCTTCAAACAACAAATCGGGGAGCGCTACGCCTGCAGAGTCCATGTGATTGGGCTCACAAGTTGGATGATTTCTTGTAATGAGTAAAATGGGCGCCTACAACAACTTTACTTCGAGCAGGCGCCATGACCCATGGGCATCATTTTTCCCCCTCTTTTCCTTTGTTCTTCCTTTATGCGCTTCGTCCTTTTCATCGTGGACGATTCCAGATTCCCCAGCGCCCTCTTCTTTTTCTTTTCATTCTGCCAACGCCCAATTGCTATCCCCATCACCAGAACAAGTGCAGATCTGTTTTCTTTCCTCTTTCTCCTCAACAATTTATTTCCTTCCAGCATAGTTTCCCCCAATAACGTGAGCAAATATCGGTTTAATGACCCCAATGAAACAAAAAACTAAAATCAGATCCAGATTTTCTTAAAAGAATGGACAAAGATAACTTAGGAGCCGGATCTGGGCTTTCTTGTTAACAGAGCTGTTGATGCTCTTTTTTGTACCTCGGCTTCGGAGTCGGGGAAGATTCAAACTATGGTTTGGAACTGAGCGGATGATATTCTTTGTGGTAGTGATTTTGGAGGTGCAGATCTGGGTATTGGGAAAGAGTGATAGGAGAAGTAGATTTGGGTATCGGGAGACTCTGGTTTTCAGTGAAGGTCGAAAAAGAAGATCAGGAAACGACCCATGGAGGTGATATATGGTTTTGGCTTTTTCACCCATTGGAGCTCTCTTTTCCTCTCATTAATCTGTTCTGATTCTTCTTCTTCTCTCTCTCTTTTTTTTTTTTTTTTGTTATCGCTACGAACTGGACAACTCGACCCATCAATGGAGCTCGAAGGAAAGTAGAATAACTCACCAAATCTCATCTTCTGTTTCCAACTCACTCTCCAATACCTTCACCAAGAACCCCATGGCGGCCCCAAGCAGGATTGTAAATTATCTTGAGATAAATCATGGATCGAGGATCCATTGAGCCACATCTGGTCTTCGTCTCGTAAAACCATCCACTCAAAAAGATGAACAGGAAGTTACGATCCCTCTTCATTTTGGGCATCTCTTCACAAAACATATGTTTTCCGGTTGCCCCTATCTGGCGCCCCAATTGTTTCAGCCAAGAAACAAGGAAGCTCCGGATCTGTGAAAGGGCGGGGATGACCCCCCTTATCTATACTCCAACGATCAACATTAGTATAGTGATTGGGAAACATGGAGAGCATGGGTAGAGAGCAAGGTTGTCAAACCGGTTTATGCCAGTGTGCCGGTTTAGCAAGTAGAATGGTTCAACCGGTGGCACATACCGGTTTGTGCCGGTTCATGCCGGTCAATATTACAAATAAAATTATAAATACTCATATTGAAACATGACATTTAACGTCAATACCTAAACATTTATATTTGAATCCAACAAATAACATCAATATTTAACTTTTATACTCATAAAATAAATAATAAAATAATTTTTATCAATTAAATTCTCTAAAATAAGGTCATTTTACTTAGAGATTCGTATATCGATCATGCCGGTCATACCGGTGGTGTCACGCCGATTTTATGACCGGTACCGGTTGAACCCGGTATAACCGGTGGCACGCCGGCCGGCGTGACAACCATGGTAGAGAGAGATAGTGTAGAGAGAGAAGTGATTTGTCAAAGTGAGAAGAAGAGAAGAAGAGACCCCCTTACTTGGAAGACCTAGGAGCATCTTTATAGGTAAAGCTTTGTGATACTTTGTTGGGCTTCAGTTGGGCCTTGTGGTGTTTCATGGGCTTGGGTCCATATGTGCTTAGCGGACCATACTTACTGTTCGGTTGGGTCATGTCATATTTACACCCCCAACAAGTTATATTTTGTTATGATATAATCAATCAATAAGACAATAATCACTAGAAATAAATTCAAATAATCATTATTATATCGATATGAAATCCTACAACCATTCTAAGTTCCACTAACCTAAATAACCACTCGCGTTTGACTACTCATAGATAAAGAAGAGCACATGATCAAAAGTCAAACGATCAAAGACCTCTTGTAAACTTGTGATCTTGTGCCTTCAATCCGAGATTCTGTAGCTCGAACTTGATGTCTCTTGATTATGGCCTTCAATCTCGTCTTAGAAGTGCTCTCTGCTCTCCAACTTGTTTCTAGGATGTTTCTGGTTGTCGAGAGGAAGTTTCCCCCATATGGAATTGATTTTAGGCTTTTACAAGTTTGCATCCCAACTAACGGTCTACCCATCGCCTATTTTGTTTTAACACAAATTTGTTTTAACACAAATTTTGAAATTTCAGCATAGCAAGAACAAGTTCATCATAATCTATAAAATAATGCACTCTGAAAATCTTTTCATGCTTTGAACGTGCGCTATAGTAAATAGTTGCTGAAGGCACTTTGGTTACGGACTTGACTCAGAAGGGGAGCATTCACTTCGATACGAGGACCACAAAGCAACGTGACCATATGGCAAAAAGCAAATATAGCAAGAACTGTGATTTTGATACCAGATCACAAATTGACCATTCCAGAACAGAGAACAAAACCAAACAAACTATGTATTTATTCTACGACTCATCCTCCCGGTGCCAATCAGACCAAAACCATCTATCTATAACCGAAGGGACACAAATATAATATAGGTAATGTGAATTCGAGAATGCTGCTGCTAAATTCTACCGGCATACTAAATCCTTCATCCTCTTCGGGCAAAACCTAGCCAAGGTTTCCGGGACGTGCCTGCATATCAATTCTTCTTCATACATTCCTCGTCATTCCAAAACTGATCTCCCATCATCCCGTTCATATTCCTTTCCAACTGGTTTTACGACTCAAGTCAAGAAGACCAGCACAAACAGGATTATGAACAGAATTATCAAAAACAATATCATCATCAACTGGCCCTTAGCACTAGCCTTCTTCATGACCATCGCAACCTTTTTCTGCAGACAAGAGGACATGCGGAGGGTTACTTCTTCTAAATTATCGACAGTTTTTAAGCGTAGCTATTTAGTACAAGAGAAAAAAATCATCTGAAATCACCTGAACAAAATCGAGCCGGTTAGTTGTGCTGTCCATTTCGTTGCCTAGATCATCAATGATCTTTTCCTGAGACACCAAAAGTTTCAGTTCAGTAGTCAACCAAGGATAAAGTTCAGGTAGCAGGGCCACATTCAGTATTGTTTTAGTCAACAAAAAAAATACTGATGAAGTATGGAGGAATTATGGATTAATACAATAGCCATGAAGTTGGAAATTACTGACCTGTGCAAGAAGTTCTTCGTGGATGGTAAGCCCGACACCACCAATTCTCTCAACGCTAGCACTCAGTTCATCCAGCTCTTCATCTTGCTGCCTACAAAACACCAATTACAGCAAAAGCATGAAGACCAAAACATGGGGACCAGTTATAGAAGTACTAAATAAATATATATGTTCTTTCTCGTTCAGCTGTGAAACAAGGGAAAACAATCTAATTAAAGTTCTTCATATGGATTTGAGGTATCCCAAGCACCCACATAGAACTCTTGATAAATAAGTAAATAAATACTACTCCTACTCAAAATGATATCATTCAGTAGAAACCTTTATGGCAAGACAGTGAAAGAATAGGGTCAGTAAGCACCCATCAAATCCTGAAACCTAATGAATTACGAAAATAACCAGAGTCTAGTAAGAGAAAGTCAAATAAACAAAATTCTAAAGCAAGGGAAAAGAACTCTATACTTAATAAGAAGCAACTGTCTATCTGATTCAGATTGTATAAAATTATCATTGTCGTCAATGTACTGGTTGGATCCAGCTGTATGTTGAGAGTTTTGCAGCCTCATCAACTCCCTGCGCATCCCATGTAAGCTTGTAGCTCCGCCCTCAATAGCCTCTCTTCCAGCAACCACTGACCTCTTCACATCACCTACCTAATAGGAGTGAAAGGATCTTTAAGTAATCATAACAGAGAAACAAAACATCAAGACCTTGTTTGTCAAACTCAAGTGTACTTGCAGTTTCAACAACCACACAGATCCCAAATCTACAATATTTAGCAATCAACATAACTCAACCATTGACCACACCATAAACTTTTCAAAGAATGTTTCAGAAAACAGTACCTGAGTGCGGGCACTGCTAGTCCATCTTCTTCGGCTCTCAAGTTCCACTTGATCAATGCCATACAAAGAAGGATCTCGAGCTGCTACAGAAATTGCTTTGTCCAATTCATCCACCTTCCTACCAAGGAGAACTGGTCAACATATGTAGAAAGTGGATTACCGGGTTCAATAAAGAAACGACAATGTTCCATCTACGCAGACCGTTTAGCTTGAACTTGCAATAACTCAAAATTAAGACTTGTTGGCTGGCTCATATTGAAAATTATACATCATAGAAATGAATCAGTATTTTGGAGTTGTACAGCAGCAATAAGCACTCCCAGAGACTACAAATATAGCCATAAGAAAATCTAACAAGACGACTCGTAACACAAGTCTGGCAGAGCTTTCATTATCCTAACCAAAAAGAACATCATAGAGGAGAATCACTGAATCCGAAACTGCTAATACCTGCCACTCGATGCTCTCACTATTAGCGAGAAGCTCCTTTGTGAGGCTCGCTTGCTCTCCAGCATTAGAAGAAAGCCGTTCCCATTGTTGAAACGTTGATAGCAACTTATCAATCTAGCAGACAACAAAACAAGGACTGTGAGCACCTAACTGGGCAAACCCAAAGCCCATCAAATATAGACAATTCTGAACTCAGAGACACAACGATGTGATTGGCAAACAGATATAGCAGAGCGTTTTATGTATGCAAAACTCATAGGGGGAGAAAAAGAGAAACAAACAGACAGCGATGTTCAAACTTACAGAGTCCTGAATCTCCTCTTTCACGATATAAAAGGGATCTTGAGCAGAAGACATGTCTCACAAACAAACCGTATATTATACCCTATCCACACAAAAATAAACGGCAATCAGCACACATAAACCTTCAGATCCATGTGAGAGGCCACTGGAATTGCTTGCTAGCATCATAACCACAAAAGCAAATGAAGGCAGCCGTCCCTTAGACTTGCCCATTACCACAATTCACCAAATCAAAGGTCCGAGTTCAAATCTAATGCAATTGAGGGAGAAAAGCAATACCTAAGGGTGTGAAGAACGCCTTTCGAGGTTCGATGCGGTTATCAGAATGTGGATTTGTCCCGCTGTCGAACGGAGATTCGAAAACGACGAAGGTACACAAGGGAGAAAGAGTCCGAGCTATTTGGCTTTTGCTTATTTCTAGATCTTTTTTCCCCCCTGCACTGCTAATCTGCTTCAATGACCGCCGGAAGAGGCGCGTAGCGACGGTGGCAACAATAGATCCGGTGGACGGTTCCCGCTTCGCTTTCGCTCTCTCCGTCGAAACCTCTCGAGCTCTCTTGCCTTTCGCTTTAGCTGACAAGAACATAAGCGTAGAAAATATAAAAGCATATATGATGCATATCCCTTGTACCGGCAGTCCGGCACAGCACAACATGAAAAACCCGCTTTTACAAGTAAAACGGTGCGTTCGCTCGCTGGTCGCTAGGGATGGCCTATCTGCCTCCTGTTCTTACTCCAAAGTTAGGAGTTGAAAGTTGAAACACAAATCCACTCATTATGTTGTAGGTTGTTGTTATGGGTGGACGAACAAGTTTAGGTGTAAAATATTCCGTATCTGATGTTCTTACCACCGTAACCATAACCCCTTTTCGGGCCCTATAGCAAGAAATGATTTTTTTTTGTTAAAGATAAGTCATTCTCGCAAATTACTTTGAATGAGCAAATCAACATAGAAATGATACATTGAAATAATCCTTTTGGATGTCCCAATATTAATAGGTAGATTGTTCAACTCCTGTATCTTCTAAAAGGAAAAAAAGATCTTTGAGAGTTGTTTCTTGGATAAGATGTGGATCGTAAAATAGGTCACCCCATTAAGATTGAGTGGGTGTGGGTGAAATGTGGTTGACCCAACATCCATAATGACACTTAAATTACAATGTTTATCACTTTTATATTTGATACATTTTTCTGTCGTATCAATGCATCTTTAGTGTATTCTTTAGGTAGAAATCATGACTATATGATCAATGTGCTTTTAATAGATCTAGGATGAGTTTTTGTATGATTTTATGCCGCATTGGCATTGCTTTGAGCTTTTTAGGGTCAAACACATTCTAGGATGACTTGGATCAATGAATGGATAAATTGGAGGATCGAGATGGATATTTACTATGAAGATCAAGTTGGTTCGTCCATTAACGAGGCCAAATCAAGGGGAATCCTTCATGAAGTCGTCAAAAAGTCCAAAAGGAAACCACAAGAGAAATTTCAGCCCACACCCACAAGAAACCCACGACGGTCTTATAATGGGGGTAGTGGCCACTAGGCCAGAGTCATCATGTCATGTTGAAATTTGGAGGATAGAGTTACTTGAGTGTCAAGCAACCCAATGGAGCAAAGAAACAGCCGTCATAGGGCCGTCACAAGCCCAAATACTAGGGAATCTCAACAATATTCCTTTCTTCGTCCACAAGACAAGAAGTCTGAGTTCTAGTGGTATCAGGAAGTCTTTGGCCGCATTTTATGAGGAAAAAGATAAAAAGACCAAAAGCCCTAATTCTTCCTCTATAAATATAGGGCCAGGTTAAGAGATTCAGTAGGCAGTAACACACACTAAAATCACTCTTGTTGAATCGAGTAAGGAGCCACTAGGCTTGGTGGAGGCTAAATTAGCAGTTATAGTAGGGTGTGGCTAGGAGATGCCTTCATCATTGATGGTGGCATCATCCTTATTTTCTATGTATTGTTAGTTCATCTTCGTTGTTAAGGATGTGAATTCTATTGATGCTTATAGCATCTTATTTCTCTGATATTAGGATAAGCTTTTCTTCATTGGATGCTCTAGTCATGTAATGCTTATACCATTAAATGCTCATGTCATGTGATGTTTATGATATTCGAATGTCTTAATTATACAATACTTTAATTAGGCGATGCCTATATCACATATTATTTTATGTTATAGTATTGCTTATAATATCAAATATGTTGCATGGGAAATCTAACTTATGTGATATGTTATTGTCTTAGACGTGTATGGAATAGATTGATTATCCATCTGTACTCAACTATGTGCAATGCTTGATACCTTAGATCATCAATGCTATAGATTATCACTATGGTCCATAGATGCCTTAAATAGTAATGTGCTATCCATACTTCTTTGATTAATTAGTCTAGTGGCATGAAACAAAAATGCGCATTAGCAGTCATAGTTCCTATTGCATGTGGTGAAAACTCGAATATGAAGGCCTTAGCAGAAGGATTGTGTTAGGGTTAGCGGAGGGTTTAACTCTATAAATATGATGGCCGCATGATAGGAGATGAATTGTAGCTTATCATTATTGAGATGGAAGAGTATGACCATTTTGGATTTTCTTTCTTATCAGTTCGTATATTTTTACTAGTCTTTTATATTATGTTTTACTTTATATGCATCTCAAAAACCAACTAAACATAGGGAATCTCAACCCATCTATTTCTGTTGAATCATTGTTTGAGTCTTAGATGATTAGATGTGAGTAACTATTATTAGGAGGCCTTGTGGAATACGATCCTAGATTTCTAGGATTTATAACTTCTATTACATTTGCTTTCATCTATTTATCTACATGTATCTTCTTTTCTTCTTTATGGAATAGTCCCCTAAGGTACTACGGGTTAAAAACACCAAACAATAGAATTAGGTTTTTTTAATGCAGATGTGATTGTGTTAGGGCTTGTGTATGGATTAGTTTGTTTCGGTAATTATATGCTTCATTTATGCTTGATTATGCTAGTGCTTGTCTCTCCAACTCTCTTCTTCTAGCCTACAACTGAGTCTTCAAACTAGGTGGGAGTTTTAGAGCTAGACTGGATTTGAGTGCCTTAAGGCTAACTATAGATAGATGAATGATCTTAGGGTTCCTTTTAGTGGAGGAGGCGACCATACCCCTGCTAGAGGAATTCCTTTGTGAGACAATGCTAGAGATGATGCAAACATCATGATACAACACTTTAGTGTGCATGAGAGGTTGAACCTATTGAGAGGGACTAAGTGGTCATTCCCTCGTACGTGAGTTTTAAATTAGGTGACAATGGGTCTTTGGGAGCATACTAGGAGGAGGAAGGTAATCATTGAAACCCTCCATTTGAGAGAGTTCCGCACATTATTCTGCAAATTCAACATAGTTAGCCATTTGCATGATGAACCTAAGTTTAGGGCGAGGGAGTTACCCCGAAGTACCTGCTTTGTATCTTTGCTTTCTCCACCAGTATTTTCAACTGACATTCGAAAACTAAGCTAAACCAATTGGGTAGATAACAAGAACGTGAGAATTAACCTAGGATATTAAAAGAAGCCGAATATGACCTTGGTCGCCACTATACTAGCAACTCCATTTCAAGTGATACTTGGTTCGAAATGGGGTAGTTAGTTAGGTCGTGCAAACAATTGACATGACCCTCACGGGGGTTCGACCAAGCACTCACCATCAGGAGTGCTAGTATCGATGATTCTCTTGAGCATTGTCTTTTCCTAGAAGATCGAGCATCTGAGAAACCACAACTTGATAAGCAGCTGGCAGCGTTGGACGAAGCTGCAATTTAGGAGCACGAGAAACAGGTGAAGCCGATCTCCAAATCGGCTCAGATCCAATCTCACTGGAGGAGCCACAGAGTTCAAGCTAAAACCCCTCCTAAGTCATCTCGAGTACGCATTTTGTGGGATGGGAACTAGCTCCTAATTATTATCAGCTCAGATCTCACATCCGAGAAGAAGACAAGGCTCATGGACATGCTAAGGAAGCATGAAAGAGCACTAGTGATGACACTTTATTTATTGTGTTTGTTACTCCCATTCTTGATACATTTCCCCCCTTTTATCAAAGCACATTTAGTCATTTCTCTAGTATTTCTTCTCTAAATCACAACTATTTGATCCATGAGCCTTTCATAGACCTAGTTTATGCTCTTGAAATCTTTGATGCCTTATTGACATGTTTTTTTTTTTTATGGTTTTGAAGGTACAAAGACACCTAAGGTAGTTTAGATCAAGCATTGAAGAACTATAAAGGACCAAAGGAGCTATAAAGAGAAGAATATGGAGCCTTCGTGATAAAGATGAGATCCAATGAGGGAGAAGTCTACTAGAAGTCGTTATATGAGTCCAAGACAAGCCCAATAGAGGAAGACTTTGCCCAAGTTGAAGAAGAAACCAGCGGCGGTCCAACAGCAGGTCCAACCGCAGCAGGAGGAGACCTGGTCAAGATGAACCCAAATCAATAGAAGAGGTCATCCATGGGCCGATGAGCCTAGCCCACAAAGAAAAAGAACGGCGGTCCCAACCACCGTCTTACCGCCGCTCAAGCCGAAACTTCTAGAATCCTTGCTCAAGAATTTACGTAATCTACAAGGACTAGAAAACCCTTTCTAGTTGGTTTTGGAGAATTTTAGCTGAGTTTTCTTCCTCTATAAATAGAGGGCATGACTCATAAGCTCATTAAGGCTGCACAACCACACATAAACTTATGTACTCTGCCTAAGTAAGAGCTTAGCTTTTGTAGGAGAGTCTCTAGCTAAGGATATGTCGTCATCATCGATGGTGGTACCCTTCTTCTCTTCTATGTAGCTAGTTTGAAATTGATTGTATGAGGATGTGAACTCGTTTATCTTTATGCGAATGACTGCTCGATTTTATGTCATACTTGTGTTTATCTCTATGAATTTCGATGCTAATCGTGTATGCATGAATGCCTAGTTTTTTTATGCTTATATGATGATCATTGTTGTTTATTTAGTATGAATGCGTCCTTATCATCAATGCTTATGATTCTATTATATGCTACTTTATGTATTGTGCTTAGTATTATCTAGGTTGTCAAGAAATTACCATAAAGTGATACCCCATTGATGCTACACGAGTACAGAGGGAATGATCAACCATCTATACCTCAAGTAGTATCAATGCTTGATTGTTAGATCATTGATGCTATGACCATCGATTATGGCTCATTGAGTCCCACAATTAATCATGTACTATCATAACTTCCTTGTTCTTCAATAATTAAGTGATGAAATGAAGCGAAAACATGCATTAGCTAGTTAATTGTCTATCGCAAGAGGCGTATGCACGAGTAGAGAGTGGCATAAGTGGAAGGGATGGTGTGATACCATAGATGAACCATTGATGCATGATGTGAATGAGCCTTAGTATGCATGAAGTATTCAAAGCTTACCTTCTTCTACGATAACATATCTTTACTTTTAAACATCTATAAATCGAAAAACAGCTAAAGAACTTTACTATACTTGCATGCTTGTTTGTCAAAAGAAAAATTCTAAACGCTTCTATGATTTTCGTGTGAGTCAATGATGATTCGGTGTGAGTAGTTATTATGTATTAGAAGACCTTGCGGAATAACACCCTAAGACATCTTAGGATTAGCTCTTGTTCTCGTAGAAGGGAACGAGGAGATTCGATGGGAATGGCAGAATGACGGTCCTTTCATGCAACAAGGAGCTTGATTCTTTTCTTTATTTAGTAGAGCTAAAGATCCTTGAAAAGAAGAGTGAAAGTGTAAGCCCCCAATCGTATCTTAGTCATTTTGCTCATTCGTGAATTAAGTCAACCTTCATTTAACTTAAGGCTATCAAAACTTTGAATCATAAGACATGTTTGATAATATAATGAAAAATTAAATATTTGATGTGAGAAAAAATTAAAAGGGAAAAATACCCCATTATTGTCCTAACTCTCCCTTAACTACAAGATAATATTACACTACTAAAGTACATCAAAAAGCAAAGTCATTGCTCTGCTTTTATCTTTCACTACAGATGATGCTTTCGAGTTCTGGTGCTTATATATGTAATGACTAGCTCGAGCAACATTCACTGCTAGATTCACGTACGTGGGAGGAAGCATCGGGTTACTACTACTATTATTCAACCAACCTTGAGAAGACCAGATATCTTCATTCACCATTTTCCACATTTCGCCAATCATCCAATTTATATGCTCTCGGGCAGCTTCTTCAGATAATTTGCTCTCTCTCATGCAACATTCAACTGCTTTCACTACATCTCCCCTTTCCAACTCCCCCTATTTCATCACAACATCAGACGTAAAAGTGTCAAACATTGCGTTACTTCCACATACGATTTTCGATTGGTTAAAGATTAATTTTTTTTTAAGATGCAATGTCCTTCTAATGACTATTTTTGTTTTATTTTGTTTCATGCATAAACTTCCATAAATATACATCGGTATGTACCTTTGAGCTCGCGAGATCATTGGTTAAACGAACAATGATTGAAGTCAAACGTGTGAGGTTGGGATCGACATCCTTAAAGAGATCCAAAGCATCATTTTGAAGGATTTCAGTTGGGGAAAAAAGGTAGCCTTGAATAAGAACAATGCTGCTAGCTACTGATTTGGAGGCAATTCTCAAATATTGTTCTAAATTCTGAATGCTCCCGTAATGATATGCTCTGGCTTCTTCCAAGTATGAACCACAGAGATCCGCCCACTAATCAAGCATCATGAAAGATTTAAATTAATTAGTAACTAATTACAAGGATACCATACCTAATTAATGATTGTCAATGATTTTATTTGGTTAATCAAATGTAGTACCGCTTTTTGTATATAAGGCATGCTGTTGAATCCTTGTTGCTTTAGGTTGACATAAGACATCTCGTTTCCAGTATTGTAGACGGCCAGGAAACATAGCTGCAGATAACGAGGAAGCTTATCCAGCTCATTGATGTCCCACCTGACAAAAGTTAGTCACATACATATGTAAGTGTCGTCCGCTAATTAACATGGAAATCAAATTTGGTTTAGCAAAAAAGCTTAATTGATTGTGATAAAAATTGAACCTCTCAATGGCAGTTGTGAAAAGCTCAAGCTCGTCGAGGTAACCATATACATCGTAGACGTCGTCAATGATGTGAACCATAACTGCAACCTTGGCCATGGCTTTTCTGCACTCTCCCATTTCAGGGTGAGAGGTGATCCCGATAGCCCATAGGAAGCTCACCACCAAAGGATCTCTAGCGAATTCCAGGTTTTCAATAAGTCCCAAATTTTTCCACCAACTGCATAAATGTCAACCGAAGAAAGAGAAAAAAAAAAAAAAAACTCAATCCTGGATGTAAGGAAGCGGTTAAATACCATATATGTAACTTTCCCAACAATAACAAATAAGGCAGAAAGATCAGTCGTGGGAACCTTGTCAGCTCCTCTAGTTCATTTTGGTGCAGACGTTGGACAAGGTTGAAATCCAACTTGGCGAGCTGAAGAAGGGGTGAGATGTCGTGTTCCCTATCTTGGCAAAGCTGGATGGACCAGCTAGTCTCGGCTCTCTGCATTCTCCATTGCAAGGGCAACTCCAAACTATGCTTCACTTGCATCATTACTAGATTCGAGTACTCATCAACGTTGTTAGCATCGTTATTATGGACAATCTGTGTCAGATGCTTAACAGCAAAAGCCTTGGCCTCCTCCATTATATCCTCCCCTGTCAGCCCCAGATATGAAGCTTCATACAATTCCAACAACCCTTTGACATCTCTCACTATCTGTGCCTTGAATCCGCCATTATCGTCTTTAAATCCCTTGAAGATATCTGTACGTACATAAGAAAAAGAGAGAAGAGTTTACAATTTATCCACCTAAAATTCAATCCATTGACCCAAATGGCAAATTACAATTTAGTACCTGTAATTTTTATATTTTACATTTTGGTACCTAATTAAGTTTTTTTAGTACCTAAAATTTTCACATTTTACATATTGGTTCATGGTTGAAGATGTCAATTTGGATTCATGGATAATACATCAATCCACTTGATCCAATCCATGAATCCACCACTTAAGGGTGATATATGTTTCATTTTTTTGTCATTAAGGTACTACTTAAGGGATTCGAACCTGAGACCTCCAGGTCCTAGGCTAATGATATTACCACTAGGCCAAGCCCTTGTTTGTTTGGTCTAGTAGTATTATCACTAGTCTTGAACTTGGAGGTCCAATGTTTGAATCAGGGCCAGTTGTGAGATTTTAGAGGCCCTGTTCTGTAAACAAAGTGTGGTTCAAATTTTGTTTCCTTAAAACCTAATCAAATATAAATAAAGCATCAATCAATATATAAAAATCATACTATAATTTCAAAATAATATCTATTTAATATGATTTGAAATAAAGAGTGACAATGGTTTAAATAGAAATTTGTGATTAAAAAATTAATTATATGAGTTGAATCGAAAAATCTAAATAAAAGAATATAGGTAGTAACTAAATTGACAATGAATCAATTAACTAAACTCAAATGAATAGGTCATGAGAAATTAATTGATTAGAAGATGAAAATAATTTAGAAGTATCAAATAGTATAAAAAATAATAGATTAAACTAAATTAGATAGGAGAAACTAATAAATTTTTAGTCCAAAGTTAAGTATGATACAAATTATTTATAATTGATTTAGTTATTTTTTCCTTTTCTACTATTGGTGGCTTAAACCTAATTATTCTCGTTAATGTTTGATAAATCAATGCGAATTATTTAATTAATTTAGTTTTACCGTCTTCTTGGTACAAGCAGATTAATTGACGAAATTAATTTTTTTCCCTCTTTGTAAAGCTGAAAATGAAGAAAGTTAAAGCAACAAATTTAATAATGCTAATGATGAGGGATCAACAATCTTATCTCTTTTATTTTATTTAAGAAACACACGACAAAAAATGAGTTATGTTATATGGTTTGAAAAAAAGTCTAATAAGAAAACAAGTTTTCCCCTCATGTGATTGTTCGTTCCTTTATTCTTCATACTTAAATCATATCACCTAGGGGTGACAGTTCAGTTGTCGGTTAGCGACTAACCGCTCGGTCTAACCGATAACCATCGATTAGCGACTAACTGAAAACCGGTTGTTTCCAAACTTCGGTCGGTGCTCAGCGCGGCTGGTTGGATCTTCGATTAGCCGAGTGACTGAAGCCGGTTAACCGATGGCTGTATACCCCCGCGTCCAAACGCCGCCGTCCTGCCCTAAACGACGACCTTTTGCCCTAAACAAACTACCCCCCAGCCCGCCCCACCCCAAACCCTATCCTCCTCCTTCGTCGACCTCGACCCCTCCCTTCCCTCATCACCATACCACTCACTCCCCGCGTCTCCACCCTCCAGTCCAGACAGCCAAACCATCGACGACGCTAGACGAACGCCGTCTCTCATTGACCCTACACTGCTCCCGACGACCCCCCGCGATCCCTGACGACCCTCCCGTGATCCAACCTTGCGACCGCCAGCTCCAGCAGCAACCTCCTCCGTCCTCCGAGCCCTCCCTCGCTGGCCGTAAGCTCGCAAATCCGCCATCCCCCTCCCCCGCCGGTTCCCGCAATCCTCCAAGGCCCATCATCAACCACCTCCAGTCGCGCAGTCCGCGATCTCCCTCCTCCGCGACGGCGCGAGCCCTGCCAAGTTGCCGTCCCTTTGAATTCTCAACGAAAACGTAAGTTGTTGTCTTGATGATGGACCGATTCTTGCATGTGGCAGTGGGAATTAGATTGATGATAATTGAATTTATGGGAAACTGGGAATTAGAATAGATTGATGAATGATGATAATTGTTTTCATGCAGGCGGGACTGATTTCGGCCGATTAGGCAGTTAAAATCGAACCGACGGGTTGTGTCACAGTTATCATGGTTAAACCGAACCAAAATCGAAAACCGACCGGTCGGTGATCGACTAATCGTTGCTTGGGGCACGATCGGTTATCGATCGGCATGTATCAGGGATGACTCGATTTAACCGATAGCTGAGAAATTGATTTTCGGTTAAACCGAAACCAACTGACTGACTGACACCCTTAATATCACCCTTATAATAAGAAAACAAATGAAAATTTGTTCCTACCCGGAGAAACCGGGATTCCTGCCTGTCTGAGGAGACGGAAACGGAGGGCGCAAGCATGTAGGCTCTCAGCCCACTTGTGGGAAGAAGAAGAAGCAATGATGGCCTCCAGAGCAGTCTGAATCTCTCTCTCGAAATGGTAACCCAATCCCAGCCGCTGCACCGCATCAATCAGCTCCAGCCTTTTCACCATATTCGTCTCATCATTTTCCTCGACGTGCTTCTCCAGCAAACCCTTCACGTACCTTTTCAGCTCTTCAATTCTCAGTCTACTATACCCCGACTGCAATTTGCGAGAGAAACAAACATATATATGAATATCCATGCTATAATTGTCGTCACTAACAATAATAAAAGTAAAAACTGCACGATGAAAAGATGGAACCATACATATTCCGCAGAGGTACGGTTGGCAGCTGCTGCGTTGTCGTATTTGGCCTGTAGCAGCTGGTGAGGGATATCGAGGCCCCACTGCCCCGGCTCATAGTTTCCCGACCGCCGCTGCTGATGCTGAGTAGCCACATCGCTGCTGATCATGATCGGAGCTGCACGGCCGTTCATGCAATCAGCACTATTTTTGGCGACAATAACGTGGACTGGTTTAGCTCGAAAGCTGGAGAAAGGAAGGGTTGAGTGCTGAAAGTGAGTTCCGACAACAACAGTCATTTTGTTTACTCTTTGCTGGAGGTTAATTGCAGAGAAAGTGGCCGGCTGAGGGGATTCTATTTATAGGCATTAGGCGGCGTTCGGCGTCGTACCTTCCCCCTTTCCTTTTTGATGGTTGCTTCCTTTCCTTCCTTCCCCTATATTTTGATTCCTTGGTTTCCTTTTTTTTTTTGGCGAATTTTCATTTTTGTTTTTAGAATAGGTGAAAACAACATTCTGTCGTTTTCGAAAAACAGTAGGAAGTTGCCACTTTTTATTTTCAGTGTTGGAAACGAATAGAAAACGAAACGAAAATGGAAGTGAACAGCACCTTAGTTTTCTTTCGGAAGGAGTGCCAAGTTGTCGGATTTATGGTGGTAGGGCACCCACTCACTTAGTCATGTACGTCCTTAACAGGGTGGGGTGACTTCGTACGTCAACCACATGCAAACCCACTAAAATTGGGACGAGTGACCGTTCATTGGACTCGTATCCTCTCGTCCTAAGGTAAGATATTAGTGTAAACATTTATTCAAAGTTTTATTATTATTATTTTTTTTCTATGGCAGAAATGCTTTCATTGTTGATTATGTGGTGCTGTGCCATCCTAGCGATAAGGGTCTAAATTATTAGAGAAAAGCTGAAACGTAAGCATTCTGACTTTAATGAGAGGGGAGAAAAGTTGATTGGGTGGGAATTTTGGTCGACCCTCTCCAATTGGGCCAAAGCGCTAAAGTCTACAATTCGATTATGGAGCTCACACCAATCTGGTTATTATATATACTCGTAGCCATTTCCATGAATATCTGCCTAATTAAAGGATGCTACATCAACAATTTTGGGATCCCATGACTGTCGATTGCTGGCTGGAGGAAGGTTTGTGGAAGCCCTTACGTGGGGCTAAATAAGAGCCGGCTAGCCTTTTGAGCCATATATGATTGGGCTTGGCCCATGTCTCGATTAAGTGCATTAAAAAATGGGGTAAATTGAAAGGATTGGTCACTGAAATTACTAAAAAAATTAACGTTTGATCAGTAAAAGTATTTTATTTTATTTATGATCACTAAAAGTAGTTTTTTTGCTTAAGTTCGGTCACTTTTCGTTAATCTCCGTCAAGTTTAGCTGATGTGGTGATAAGTGCATAATATTTTTGGTGAATGTAACAATAGTAAGTTAGACTTATCGCAAAAACCACGGGGAAGAATGAAGATGCATTTTGTTAGCATCCCATTCTTGTTGATCGCCTAGTCGTTGAGGAATTGTGCACATGCTTCAATTATCCCACGATATAATCAATTAGCAAGCTTTAAAACTCAACACTTGAAGCCGATAAATCTTACCAGATGGAGTTTCCACAAAGACCCCAGAACTGCAAAAAAGAAGGTCAATTACATATTTTAGGTGTTTTCAGTATGCTCATCTCCGAGACGGCAAGACCAACAAAATTCACGGAAATAAACATGTATTCATAGGTTTCAAAGAAATATTCATATGTGTCGAACTAGTATTCAAAAGCTTTCAACAAGTATTTCTATCTTTGAGACAAATAAATATTTCACATAAAAATATGTATTCATAGGCATCGAACTTCAAACCGTCAAACAAGTATTCTCAAACGTTTCAAAACTTTGGGATGTTTTTTTCACCATTGGAGAGCACAAGAGAGTGGAGGAAAGGAAAATAACGAGAGAGAATTGTGGGTGGGCATTTAATGCCAATTTCTCTCCCGAGCATAGTTAGTAAAATACGGTATGAGAAAGTTACATATAAAATACGTATGGGTATTTTAATTTTCTCTAAGCTGATGTTACGTTTAATAGTACGTTAATATTCATAAATATATAAAAATAAATTGTTTCAAAAATAAATAAATAAATAAATAATAGTAAATTTAACAATTTAATTCATTAAATACGAATATTATAATGTGTTATACGAGTTTTATACGTGTTTAGTACGAGAGTCGTCAAATGAACGAGGGAAAAATGAAACGGCTTGACAATAATACGGATACGAAAGTTTTAAGCAGATAAAATACATACGATTACGAATATGTGTATTAAACGGAGTATTTACTAACTATGCTCCGAGCAGAAAATTTCACTTTCATCCAAAAGCCACAATTTTCGGACCTTTAAATGCAAATTTTAGGTGGACACTAAATGACACTTTATTTCGCACAAACTGGCTTGGCTTACCACATCCGAGCTCAACACCTGTTACATCTAAGTCCTCCCCCAACTCCAAGACACTCTATTCGAAGCCGTCGATCTCGACAAGTGGGAATGTGGCCATATATTTGACTGTGTGAGCACATGGTCACTCTTTATGATGTGAGCATCATAGCCAAGTTGAAAATCTAGCACTAACCCCCTCTAATATTTATCCCAACAAGTCAGAATGGTAGATAATTGATTGTTGAGCGATTTCGCTCAAATCCCTCTTCCTGTCGCACTTTGGCACAATCCTCTTTGACACATAATGTAACACGCTACCCTGTATTCATGTTCCTAATATTTTCCTTGACCAATTTAGGCTTGATTTACCTACGATCTTTATATGAAGTGCATAGAAAAATAAAGTTGTATTTAAAATCGGTATTGTCTTAAGCCTTAGCTTGCAAAAACTTTACTTGTTCCCTAACTTTTAATTGAAAGATTTGTGGAGAGTTCAGTTCCGCCGCCCACCTCTTAGCCATTCGGCTGACAGTACTCATCCATCTCGTTCTACTGATGTCATTCTAGTCCTGTGAGGGAAAAATATTGACGGGGTGGAGACGTCACTCAATGAGTAAATAATAACCTAATATAAATATTAATACGAAAATTATATCAAGCTATGTTGTGACTCGGAGTGTCTTCCGTCAATTAAATTCAGTGCATATTTAATAACTTGATAACTTTACTTATATCTCACCTATGTAGGTTTATACGGAATTTCTTCCCCCGTCCATTCGATCGTTCACATATCTGTTATAGTCATACATGATTTGTTTAGGGTTTCACCTTTACTTTATCCTACCTGGTGTTGCAATTAGTTCATATTTATTCTTATACACCATACGGAATTTTCATCATTTCATCATATCTTTACACTTCTACAAGCATCGCATCATGAGAGGTATTGTAGACTAATAACATTATACACGTCAACATCTCATGGTAGTAGCATAATCAAATGAACATATCATCACTACTTATAAAATAGTTTCCTGATTAATTATTGTACCACTCGTCATAGGAGGTTATCACAAAATATACCTCATCTTGTCACTTGAGATCAAATATAAAACACATCGACCTTCACATATTTCATATCTCGTGTAGGGGGTTCACCTTCTATATATCAAATATGGAAAATACTAAGATTGCCATCTCAATCACATATCACACAAATATGCCAAATACTAAGATTGACATTTAAGTACTCATGTTGCATCCAAAATCACCCATGAATCAGTATCCAATCACACACATGCATACATATAGTTAGCTGGATTCAGTAGATTTTATTCTTTAATTTGCCAAGTCATGCACTCCCCGGGATCTCGTGAACTCGTAATCTCGTAGGCACAAAGTGCCAGATCTCGTCAACTCGTGGGCACAGAGTGCCGTATCTCATCAACTCGTAAGCTCGTGGGGCACAGGGTGCCATATCTCATAAACTCATAGCCAGGCCTGGCATTACTCCTTAAAAGGAGTTCTCGTATAACTCTTTTATCTCTTAGGCTTGAAGCCTCTTTTCACTTATAACGAGTGCATGACAGGGCGCCATTACATTTGCTTTAGGTGATCATGCAATTCTTATAGTTAGTCACAACTAAACATATCACTTGTGTGACCCAAGGGCCATTTCATATCACATTCACTTGCATGACTCATAGGCCATTTTGTCTCATCTCGTATAATTGACAAAAGGCAACATTTCTTGCCATTCTTTTCACTTGACCGCCTCAAATGACATTTCACATATCATATACTCATCACATAATATCGTTTAGCACACACATAACATGTATTATGACCTTCTGGTCATACCATCATATAATTATTTCATCATATCATCACATTATTATATAATTACCATGCTACGGTAACCTCATCCAATCATAGGATAATTAAATAATTTCATCACCATTCAATCATGTAACCATACCACATATCGATATTCAATCACAATTGCTTTAAAGCTTACCAAACCATCATACATGTTGTACTCGGGCCGCTTCATGACCCGAAATACCATAATCATATTAAGATAAACATTAGGTTAGAATTTACTTACTCATTATCCTGATTCCACTCGATCACTCAGCTTTGACAACTCTTGCTCCTACGTACCCTTCGCATAAACGGGTACAATTAAGCATCCCCTGGAAATACATATGGGGTCGTTTGGATAAGAGTTTTGTTAAACCAGAGATTTATAAACAAATAACTCATTTAAAAAACCAGGAAATTAGTATAAGGGAATTACAAGAAATCACTTGTTTGTTGACGAGTTAGGAATTGTGCATTGAAGAATTTTAATTTTATTGACAAAATCGAAATTACTACTTTGCCCTCTGCATCATCTTCTTCCTCCCCTTCTTTCCCTTCTGCATCCTCTTCTTCCTCCGCTTCGAGGATCGATTGCTTCCCCGTGAAGTAGTTGAACTAAAGCGATATAAACGATGGCAGGTTGCGATTTCTGAGCTCCCCTGTTCAAAAAATAGCTCCCCAATCTGAAAAAGATAATGGAAGACGATGGGTTTCTAGCCCCCAATCGGAATATATATAGAGCTCCGCGGCGGCGACGGCGGCGGCGACTCCTGATCTATCGATGGCAGCTCTCAACAGCGACTCCAATCTTCGAGACAACAACTCCAAATCGAAAAACCCTCGTTAACTTCAGATCTGCAGTAAAAGATAAGGGATTGAGACACTGAGACTCGGGATGCAGACCCGCAGAACGAAACCGACTCGTTGATACCAGTCGAGGAGTCGCCGGCGAGAAGCAGGTCTGAAATCGCTCAACCGCCGTTGCATCGTTTGACACTTCGATGGTGGTAACTCTTTCAGACCTCCTTCGCTTGACCGCCACAACATCTTCTCACTTGCTACTGCTTCGCTAATTTCCACCGCCGACACTTCTCCTTTTCGGGTCTGCTTTTCTCGTGTCGTTTCAAGATGGCGGCGAGTGCAGATCTGGAATCGCTCTTGCCTAGAGAATATTAAGGAGGGGGTTTTGGGACGAGAGAGGGTAACGAGAGAGGGAAGGTAGAGACTAGAGATGATTACAGGAAATTAATTTGTATCACAAGTGGAGGAGATGTTGCCGGAGGAATGATGGTGGTGGTGGCGGTGGCCGGTGGGGGTATGAGAGAGAGAGAGAGAGAGAGAAGGGAGGAGGAAGAAGTGACGTGAGGGGAGTGGGGACAGAACTGGAACAGACAGGAAAAAAGGGACGGGATTTGGAAATAGCTGGGGGAGGGCAGGTATTTTGAAATATTGCATATGCAGGTTTTTGAAATCTTGCTTTATTAAAATCTCTCATTTTTAAAGCTCTATCCAAACGTATAATTTCTTTAAAATCCTGCACAATGAGGGATTGTACTGAAATCCCTCATTCAAATTGCTAATCCAAACGACCCCATAGTATTTAAAAGTATTCCATATCAGTAATTAGTTAGTTACCCTTTCATTGACACCAATATATATGCTTGTATATTTAACTTCTCTTTAAGTATTTGCTAGGGAATACATACTTATCATTTTTTTTATGAACTTGTCTTGCCAAGTCCCTTTTTCCCATACGTACTTAGTAAGGGGAGTAGTTATTATCATGAGCTTCTCACTTAAGCAAACTTTGAGATATATATGTAAATAATTCTCCTATTTTTATTTCTCATAACTACTTGATTAGTATGATTTATTATTTGGGCATGCGCATAACTATAATTAATTAAGTATGCTTGAGATTATCCATTTACATTAACTTTCTAATACTCTGCCACACTATTGTCGGTATTGTAACCCTCTCTAATGTAGATAAAATCTTATTTACTGGGTAGCAACTATCATGCATGCAAATCATACAATCAAGAAAGACAAGGTGATTTAGGGTTAAATGAATGATAATAGAAGGAACTAGTAGTAACCTCATTATTTGTTCCCCTGATATGCGAGACCACCTTTTCCATTATACCTTTTTAATTTTGGATTACTAGAGAATGAAAATGATTATGATGATACCTGCTTTAATCTATAACTCCTTTGCTAGTCTCACCAACCATCAATCTCTCTTCTAGCCATGGAGGAAACGAGTGAAGTGGGAGTTTTGGTGGGTACTTTTCAGTGGCAAGAGAGCATAGCTCTCTCTTCTCTTTTCCAAGAGAAAGTTAATTAAGGAAAATGGATGCCCTCTGCTTTTCTAGGGGATCAACTGCCCCATCCCCTTCAATTAAATCCCCAAAGGATAAGAGACACACGTGGGGTTATTTTGGGGCTTTTGGGAACTATAATTGTCAAACGTGTAGAGTAAATAAGAGGGCAGGATAAGTTGAGTAAACACGTTGTCCTCTTCCCCTTGGCTTAAAAGGATTTTGGATAGTGTCCCATTATCTAAACTCATAAATCATTAAATATTTTGTGTCATACTCACCAACTGCAGTCTTCAAATTTGTTGGTGTGGGCTACCATCAAAACCCAAAGAATGCTTATAAATTTGAATAAGAACTATTACTTCAGTTACCCTCATGTTAATACTTTTAAACAAAATCAACTGAAGTGCGGGTTTGTTTCATGAAACCAGAAGTTTGATCCCAAACTAATTCATCTTATATGAAACTTTGGATAAAATTATATATATTCTCATCAATTTGTCCCGTTCATCATCTATATGTAGAGAAAGAAATTCACAATAGTACCGTGCATTTATTAAACGATTTCACGAGAAGGGCCGATGCGACACATAAGTCCTGTAAAAATATTAGTACTGCTAGAGGTTCATCTGTTGCTAACCTGCCAAAAGACTGAATATTTTCCTTGAACTCTACAACTCATCAAGAGCTAACACAAGTATTGAAATCGGCCATGGTGAATCCAACAGATTCGGATCCAAATCAACATGTATTGTTGAAGTGATTGATTGCAGTTTAGGTTCAAGCTAAGTGATTGATTGCACAAAGCTCTCACTAGATATATATCGGCATATTTGATAATATAATTGTATTAAAAAGGCATATTTGATGTGAAAATTTATAAAATGACACCTTTGAGAAAAAATTCATAGTAATTATTAAAAAGTGAAATATACCTATAACTCATTATTATCGTTTCTTGTCCTTTAACTACAACATAATATTACACGACTAAAATGCGTCAAAAAGCAAAGTCATTGCTCTGCTTTTATCTTTCACAACTGATGATGCTTTCGAGTTCTGGTGCTTATACATGTAATGACTAGCTCGAGCAACATTCACTGCTAGATTCACGTACGTGGGAGGAAGCATTGGGTTACTCCTACTAGTATTCAAGCAACCCTGAGAAGACAAGATATTTTCATTCACCATTTTCCACATTTCGCCAATCATCCAGTTTATATGCTCACGAGCAGCTTCTTCCGATAATCTGCTCTCTCTCATGCAACATTCAACTGCTTTCACTACATCTCCTCTTTCCAACTCCTCCTGTTTCATCACAACATCAGATGTAAAAATGTTAAACATTGCATTCATTTTTCACACACGATTTTCTATCGGTTGACATTTGTTTCACAAATGTTTTAAATGCGATGTCCTTCTAATGACTAAGTTGTTTTTGATTCATGCATAAACTTCAATAAATATACATCGGTATGTACCTTTGAGCTCGCGAGATCATTGGTTAAACGAACAATGATTGAAGTCAAACGTGTGAGGTTGGGATCGACTTCCTTAAAGAGATCCAAAGCATCATTTTGAAGGATTTCAGTTGGGGAAAAAAGGTAGCCGTGAACAAGAACAGTGCTGCTGGCTACTGATTTGGAGGCAATTGTCAAATATTGCTCTAAATTCTGAATGCTCCCAGAATGATATGCTCTGGCTTCTTCCAAGTATGAACCACAGAGATCCGCCCACTAATCATGCATCATGCAACATTGAAAATGATTAGTAATTTAACAGAGCATTATATTCAATAATACAATATATAATGGTTGTAATAATAATTTGGAATAGTACCGCTTTTTGTATATAAGGCATGCTGTTGAATCCTTGTTGCTTGAGGTTGGCATAAGACATCTCGTTTCCAGTATTGTAGACGGCCAGGAAACATAGCTGCAGATAACGAGGAAGCTTATCCAGCTCATTGATGTCCCACCTGACAAAAAAACTTGTCAGTTGTCACAATAACCTGGAAATTTCATTTACCAAAACGCTTTAATATTGATTGTGAGAAAAATCGAACCTCTCAATGGCGGTTGTGAAAAGCTCAAGTTCATCGAGGTAGCCATATACATCGTAGACGTCGTCAATGATGTGAACCATAACTGCAACCTTGGCCATGGCCTTTCTACAATCTCCCATTTCAGGGTGAGAAGTGATCCCGATAGCCCATAGGAAGCTCTCCAACAAAGGATCTCTAGCGAACTCCAGGTTTTCAGTAAGTCCCAAGTTTTTCCACCAACTGCATAAATGTCAAAAGAAAAAAAACTCAATCCTGTATGCAAGGAACTGCTTAAATATCATATATGTACATTTCTTAACAATTCGAATTATTGTAACTAGTTGGTTTACGAGACAGGAAGCCAAAAAGGTGGTCGTCACAATAATAAATATGGGCTGAAAGATGATGAGTAGGAACCTTGTCAGCTCCTCCAGTTCATTTTGGTGCACGCGTTGGACAAAGTTGAAATCCAACGTGGCGAGCTCAAGCAGGGGTGAGATGTCGGGTTCCAGCTGCCTATCTTGGCAAAGCTGGATGAACCAGCTAGTCTCGGCTCTCTGCATTCTCCATCGCAAGGGCAGCTCCAAACTATGCTTCACTTGCTTCATTACTAGACTCGAGTACTCATCAACCTTGTTAGCATCGTCCTTATTAGTATTGACAATCTCCGTCAGATGCTTAAGAGCAAAAGCCCTGGCCTCTTCCATAATGTCCTCCCCTGTTACCGCCAGATATGAAGCTTCATACAGTTCCAACAACCCTTTGACATCTCTCACTATCTCTGCCTTGAATCCGCCATCGTCGTCGTCTTTGAATCCCTTGAAGATATCTGTACGTAAGACCATTTTGTTTGAGTGATCCATCTAGTTGGGATTATTTAATTTCTGCAACAAATGAAAATTTGTTAATATGATTGCACGTACCTGGAGAGATGGGGATTCCAGCCTGCCTGAGGAGACGAAAACGGAGGGCGCAAGCATGTAGGCTCTCAGCCCAAATGCGGGAGGAAGAAGAAGCAGCAATGGCCTCCAGAGCAGCCTGAATCTCTCTCTCGAAATGGTAACCCAACCCCAGCCGCTGCAACGCATCAATCAGCTCTAACATTTTGGTCTCGTCGTTACCCTCTACGCGCTTCATCTCCAGCAGACCCTTCACGTACATTTTCAGCTCTTCGATTCGCGGTCTAGTACTATACCCCGACTGCAATTTGTGACACAAACATATGATTATCCATGTCATAATTGTCGTGACTAAAAATAATAAAAGATGGAACATACATATGATGCAGAGGTACGGTTGGCAGCTGTTGCGTTGTCGTGTTTGGTTTGGTGTAGCAGGTGATGAGGGGTATCGATGCCCCACTGCCCCGGCCCATAGTTTCCCGACCGCCGCTGCTGAATGGCCACATCGCTGCGGATGGTGACCGGATACAGGCGAGCAAGAGCGGCACCGCGGTCGTTCAGGCAGTGAACAGGACTATTTTTGGTGACAATAAAGTGGGCTGGCCGTTTAGCGCGGATTTGGGAGAAAGGAATAAGGGTTGAGTGCTGCTCAACATGAGTTCCCACAACAACTCTCATTTTTGTGTGTGTCTACTCTTTGCTGGGAGGCTACCGCTTGCAGAGGAATTAGCGGCCGGGTGAGGGGATTCTATTTATGCTGGAAGGGAAGGGCACTCTGTACATTAGTTTTCAGTCAAACGTCGTTAACAGGGTGGGGAGGTTTCGTACAAGCAAACCCACTAAATTAAAGCTGGGACGAGTGACCATTCATCGTACTCGTGGTATATGTGTAAACATTTATTAAACGTTTTTATTATTTATTATTTTCGTTTTCTTAGTATAAATGCTTTTATTGTTGATTATGTGGTGCTGTGCAACCCGTGGGACCACAACCATAGATGCTCTCCGTAATATTGACTCCCAAAGTCATGCGTGGTAGCAATACCTAGGGATGGCAATGAGTCGGGTTGGGTCGGGTTTTGCCAAACCCAAACACATGGATTTATCCGTGAAAAAAATCTGGGGTAAAACCCAACCCAACCCAACCCGCTGAGTATCCGCGGGTTCAGGGGTACTCACGAGTTTTTGTCGTAAAAAATTCACAATAACAAATTCCTATCAAAATTAAAGTCAAATATCAATATCTCAATACAAAATATCCATATATAAAACATCATTTTAGAAAGTTCAAGCAAATCACAAATTAACTATACAAATTGTTCAACACCAATCTAGAAAACTCAAGAAAATTGAAGCAAATCACAAATTATCCATAAATAACATGATTAATTGAAAGCTTCTTCCTTTCAATTAAGTTTTTCACTCTCCACTCGATAACATCAACTTCATTCTACATATACTAGAAAGAATAAATTAGACATGTCTCCACAAACATAAATAAGATTAGTTGTTTAGAATATTAAATACGCCGAGAAATTAATTATATGAGTGTGGGCGGGTACCCATGGGTCGGGTTTACCTAAACACAAACCCAACCCAACCCGGTGAATAGTGAACGGGTTTAAACCCAAACCCGGCCCAAAACCCATCAACACGGATTTTACCCGCGTTGACCGGGTTGGGTCGGGTGGATACCCGTGGGTTCGGGTTTTGCTGCCATCCCTAGCAATACCAAACCAAATACGGCGAGTAGTGGGGTCCTGAGCTAAGCCTTTTATCATAGACCAGCTGTCGAGTATTATTGTAGGTAGGGCTGCAAAATGAGACAATAAGGTGTTGGTTGGCTTGGGGGAAAAAAAATCTTAGACAAGTAGAGTTTAATTAAGGGTTGTTTGGTTCGTGGATTTAAAAAATGAAGATTTTGGTAAAACTTGGGTTTTGTAAAACCATGGATATATAAGGGTTTTGGGGTCATCATGGATTTGAAAAATACCATTGTTTTTTTCATAGATTTCATGATGGAATTGGTTAAATAGATATGTATGTATGAAGTGAAATTTACTTTTATTGCCCTCATTGGTATGAGAAGAGAAATGAAATAGGAGGGGTAGTTTGGTCTTAAATGGTGGACTTTTCAAAGCCCATGATCAATTCCCACCTAAATAAGTGGAACTTTGAAGTCCGTGGGGTTCATAGATTTGGACCCTTAAATTTAATGGGACCCACGGATTTGTTGTCCCTAAATGCATCAAGCAAATAATGGATTTTGGGCAAAGTCCATGATCTCACCAAATCCATCAAGCAAACAAGCCCGAATGTTGTTCGGTTGGCAGGATTTGTGAGTCAGTTTGATTTGGTGGTTTGTTGAGATCAATTAACTAGCAAGTTAGCTCGTTTTAAGATATGGTCATGATTCGATTAGCGATCAATCTCAACTAGTAACTTATGAGCCAATCGATTAATACATTATCATTTGCTTGTTTATATTTAATAGGTTTTTTAGTCTATATATCTCACCATGTTTAAGAATTTAAGCATGTGAAAAATATGTCTCATTTATAATTTAAAAGAGAAATTATGTATCATAGATTTCTAATATACTAATTATTATTAAATAACATGATATCAATAATAAAAATTTGGGCAATGTCTATTTTTTACCCAAATCTTTTTCAGATTCTTTTATTTTAACCAAACCTATTGAATTCCTAAAAATTATCCAAACGTTAATTCTCCGTCAACTTTTCTGTTAGTAATGCTGACTAAGTATGACCATAATGAGTTGACTTCCTACGTGGCGGTCAGAATACCATCATTTACTATTTTTAATAAAAAGATTATCAAAAAACAAAACAAAATCCCACCTCTCACGTGGACAAAATAAGTAACGGTAACAGAATGAATGCCCAGACTTTGATAAATTATAATACGTTTGGATAATAAATAGAATTTCTATAAGTTTGGTTAAAATAAAAGAATCTGAAAAATGTTTGGGTAAAAAATAGACATTGCCCTAAAAAATTTGAACTAAATGATACGATACATTAGCTCAAGTCGATATCAGGATCTAATTGATGAGTCGAGTTTGACTAGAGCTCGTGATGAGTAAATTAAATAGCCGATCTCGAGTCAAACACAAACCGAGGTTTTTGTGAAATAGTCGAGCTCAAAATGTTTAAAAACGAGATCTGTGTCGATTAAAAAGTATGAAATTTAAAGTCATTTAAACGAGCTCAAAATTTTTAGTCACCCAACCCATGCACTATTGTTTGGGAAATATTAAATCCAAACCCACCCAAAAAATTTAAACCCTACGGTTTGTTTCTAATTGGGTTGAGTCGGGTTGACAATATTTTTAAGTGAAAATCCAACCCAACACAAAATATATAATTATTCTACACCATAAAAATATTTTATTACTAATTAAAATTTCAAACGAATAAACCGAGGTGAAAGTTATCAAAATGCACAAATGTTGTTTGAATTTCAATTAAATGTGATTTACTTCAATAGATGTCTAGTTGTTTTCACAATATTTGTTAAAATAGGCTAAAGAGGTTATAAACGAACGCATCCGTAATATGTTATTTTATTAAAATTATACATAAGAAAAAGGATTACGTGAATCATAACTCTATTAATTCTAAGTCTAAACAGTAAGCCGAAGAATGAATTAGATTAGGGACACCATGAGAGAAAAATATGGCAAAATATCTTAATTTTCTCATAAATATTGCTATATACGACATAAATATTTTTTAGGTATGAGTACTCATACCAATAGTTGGAACACAGGTTGGGTCAAGTTCTACGGTTTATTTAATAAAAAATCCACACCTAACCCAAAAGAGGCAGGTTGTACAAAAGAATCCCTCATCCAACCCTAAACTTTAGTTTTAGTGATAAACACGGGTGGGTTGGGTCGGGTTGAACGTGTGGGTCGATTTGCGGGTGTGTTTGTTCACCCATACATGTGGTCTCCTGGAATCTTCATTTCCATCGATGAACCTCAACTAACCTTTTCTTGAATAGAACCATACCTCACTTCCAAAGTAAGGATTCTGCAAGAGACCAGAGAGAATATGATCCTGGCCTTAGACCCAGATAAATTTGTAAATTTCAACAATCTCATCAGCAAAAGTAGGACCAGAAGAGTCTGATAGAGCTGGGTACTAAGCATTTATAAGCTTGCCTACTATTGCTTTTACCTGACTACTAATGTCACTAACACCTCTTTATTCAACTGCATTAATCTTTTCTTTACTTCACTAACTCTAGCCTTCACAACCATTATAGAAAGTCAGGATGCTCTACCTAGAAGTCAAAAATACTTTAAGGGCTTAGGACTAAGACCTCACAATAGTCTGAGAAGGTATCCAGCAGAACTTCAATTGCGCAACCAGGAAATGTGTCAAACCAAGCTTCATTATTTACTAGTGCTCGATCTAACTTTCTATCAATAGGATTCGTTTCCTGTCTTTTTTCCAAGTAAAGAACAAACCATTTGACCTGTGATAATACAATTCCATCCCAGCTACCCATCCTTTGAAGTCATTCATACAACTTTTCACCATGTTCAAGTTTCATATTTCTTCTGGAGATAAAAACATCATCAAAATCTCCCCACATTACCCATGGAACCGTTATTACTTTGAATAGGGGTCATTCCCTATACGTTTCTACCCCATTTATTTTATTTTTAAAAGATAGAAATGAAAGAATTTTTCGAAAATAAAATTAAATATGATAAGAATAATCTTGTATTATGGAAACAGCTTTTTGCAGAAGTTTCAAATCGAAACTTTTGCTTTTATATGTTATAAAAAACACTTTCAGCTTCTCGAAATGTTTAGCCTGTTTTAACTTTTAGAGAAAAAACAGTTTTAAAACATAGGCAGTTTCAACTTTCATCCATTAGCATAGTAAAATTAAAAAAACAATGAAAAGAAGCATCGTTGCGGTTCTGGCTGCCAAAATACCTAAACTACGTATGACGATAAGCCGACTAACTAAGTATTGTTTTTCCCAAAGACCACTTCTTAACAGACAACTTCCTAACACATTGTTTACCAAAGACTACTTCCTAACCATGATAGACGACTTCCTAACTTTAGTTCTCCTAATTCTCTCTAAAAAAAGAACTTTAGTTCTCCTAATTTCCTCTATCTTGGGTCCGGCCGTCCGTGTTAAATTATTTGCGTTATTTTTCTCTTTCTCTCAAATTTGATTGTCTGATTATTGTTCCAATACGATCTGCGAGTGGGAAAATATGGTTATATTCGGAAGGAAGAGTAATTAACGTGAGAGTGGTGACTGGGGAGACTGAGAGTAGGATGATAATTTGATCTGACTCAATTTATTTGACTTCTTTGGAGTAGAGATTGGTGAGGAAATTGTTAAGTATATTATTTTCTTATAATACAAGCAAACATATAAGATTAAGAAAAGATGTAAAGACACATGTAAGTATTCTAGCCGATAGAATTCACTATCTCTCCTTAAAGAATCATATTCCCCTCTAGTACCCAAGGTTATGGAATGATTCCTCCCAGGATAGAAAGGACGTACATTTTTCAGCGTAGCAGTACCTCAAACCCCGGAACCCATCGAATGCAGCCAACCAGCGAGAACCACACTTGACTCGATTTTCTCTTTGAAAAACTGCAGAAAACTAGTTTTGGATTTTAGCAGAGTTTTGGTACCGGAAAAAACGTATATTTCTCATCCTCAAAACTTGAGGGGGGTATGGTGCTATTTATGGAAAATGAAGGGGTGCGTACGAAGGGAGGCAACCCGTCATATGGGTGGTTACACCCCAACCAACAA